TTCCTGGAGCAGGCAGGGCTGTCAGTAAGCGGTGGAGCGGCCGTGGCGTTCCCCGGGCTAGTTGGGTTATCCGGCAGCAGCATTGGAGTGGTACATGTACTCCGCCGCCTGGGGCAGTAGTATGTAGCCCAGTAATATTGTATGTAGTCAAATATTAATTTTTTTCTTTTAATTTTTTGAGATAAGTAAAATGTCAATTTTAACCCGGCTAAAAATAGAGAATTTTTTTTCCGGTGAAATTTTGACGGAAAAATGGCCGGAAGGACCATTTTTGCAAAAAAATTAATAGTCGTGGACTAAAATTGCAAGGTTCAAAAGTCGTGGATCAATTCTACCAGTGCCACTATAGTCGTGGGACTAAAAGTGCAAAAAACTCTATGTTTGACTCATAGCGATATCAGTCTATTAGTATTCTTGGTTTGAGTTGGTCAAATATAACAACATAAAATGATTTATCTTCTTATAGTCCTTTATTAGTTAGGGTTACAAGGTGAGATTTACTTAGTATACACCTTCATATAGTGGCTGCGGGTTTCCCTTATCATTTAAAAAAGAGCAAATTACACTTTTGGTCCTGTGACTATAGTTGATGTGTTAATTTGGGTACGTGACTTTTAAAATTAACAATTTAGTCCTTTAACTATCATTTTTTTAGCAGATTTGGTCCTCCCGGCCAAATTGCCGGTGGAATTTGGCCGGAAAGACGTTCGACTTTTTAAATCAAATATTGGTGGGGGTAATTCGGTTCAACAATTAAAAAGACCGATTTACCCCGACCAATATTTGGATTTAAAAAGTCGAACGTCTTTCTAGCTAAATTCCACCGGCAATTTGGCCGGGAGGACCAAATCTGCTAAAAAAATGATAGTTAAAGGACTAAATTGTTAGTTTTAAAAGTCACGTACCCAAATTAACACACCCTCTATAGTCACAGGACCAAAAGTGTAATTTGCTCTTTAAAAAAACATGAATATAAATATATTACGGAGTTGGTCAGATATGACAACTTAGGATGATTTACCTTCTTATAGTCCTTTGTTAGTTAGGGTCACAATGTGAGATTTACCTAATATACACCTTCATATAGTGGCTGTGGGTTTCCCTTATCATCTAAAAAAACATGAATATAAATATATTACGGAGTACTAAGTAATTTCATATAAAATATTAATTATTTTTATTGATGATAATAATAATTATTATTATTATTATTTATACTAAAATAATTATAAATTCAAAGTTATAGTTATAAAGCTTAATAATATATATTTTAATCTTTTGAGCTATAGGTTGGGCCAAACCATTTTTGTTAAACCTCAAGCCGACCAAACTCATATTTTAACTAAAGGGGAAATCAAGGAGCGTTATACTGTACATCTGTGAGCACCATGCATGGTGCACACAGATGTAAAAACAACGTCATTTTGATGTTGACTTAAAAAATATATTTATAACTTTATAACTATACATCCAGAATTGCATAACTACACATCCATAACTTCATAACTATACATCCAGAATTGCATAACTATATATCCATAACTTCATAACTATAAATCCAGAATTGCATGCATAACTACACATCTATAACTTCATAACTATACATCCAAAATTGCATAACTACATATCCATAACTTCATAACTATAAATCCAGAATTGCATAACTACAAAACCCATAACTTCATAACTATACATCTAGAATTGCATAACTATACATCCATAACTTCATAACTATAAATCCAGAATTGCACAACTACAACATACATAATTACACATCCATAACTTCATAACTATAAATCCAGAATTGCATAACTACACATCCATAATTTCATAACTAAAAATCCAGAATGAATGAACTAAAAATCTAGAATGAATGAACAACATAATGTTGTTGCTGTAAATCAAAAATGATTTTTTTTTAAGTGGGGCACGCATTTTTAGTCAAAACGATCTCGTTTTTGCATCCGTGTGCACCATGCATGGTGCACACGGATGCACAACATAATTGCCTGAAATCAATATTTGGTCCACCAATTGTTTTCAATTGTCAATGTAGTTCTGATGAACAAACTGAATTCACATTAGATCGGGAAAGAGAGTACAATGAAGAGTCCTATAGGAAAGCTACCACAAATATCTCCTATACAATAGACAAGCCTAGTCAGATGAATAATAACCACATAGAATAAACCATATGCTATAACATAAATATTATTATTGCTAACACTCCCCCTCAAGCACAAGGTTGGAGAGCAACAACATTGAGCTTGTCTCGTAGAGCCTGAAAATGTGGTGCTGGTAGAGGTTTGGTGAAGATGTCTGCCAGCTGATCCTTGGTAGAGACGAAACTAACAATGAAATCCCCAGAAGCCACCTTGTCTCGAACGAAGTGATAATCAATTTCAACATGTTTAGTGCGGGCGTGGAAGACCGGATTGGCTGCTAGGTAGGTAGCCCCTAAATTATCACACCATAGCGTGGCAGGGGAGCCGGAGTGTAACCCTAACTCACGCAGTAAAGAAATAATCCACGTAACCTCTGCTGAAACATCGGCCAACCCTTTGTACTCGGCTTCGGTGGATGACCTGGCGACTGTACGCTGCTTGCGAGAAACCCATGACACAAGATTATCCCCGAGAAACACTGCGTATCCACTAGTGGACTTACGATCTACCAGACAACCGACTCAGTCCGAATCCGTATATGCATGTAGATCAGAAGCTGACGACGCAGATAAACGAAGCCCATAGTCTTGAGTCCCTTTTATATACCTCAGAACACGCTTAAGTAATGCCCAGTGGTCATCCGTCGGAGAGTGCATGAACTGGCACAGTCTATTAACCGAGTAGGTGAGATTGGGCCGTGTGATGGTGAGATATTGTAGAGCCCCTACAATGCGACGATATTGCGTCGGATTTTCAAACGGAGTTGACGAGGGAGACGCGGGCTGAGTAACCGAAGCTGGGGTGGCCAGAGCTTTACAATCTGTCATACCTGACCTAGTCAGGATATCCTTCATATAGCGGCGCTGCGACAGAACAAGACCGTCTCCCGAGGGCACTGTTTCAATCCCTAAAAAGAAGTTGGGTGTACCCAGGTCCCTGATTTTAAACGCTGTGGATAGCTGATGCAGGAGTGTGTCAATCAAAGCCGAGTCGTTGCCCATCATGATTATGTCGTCGACATAGACTAACAAGTATACCCGTGATTTCCCTGTCGTATAGTAGAAGAGTGAGACATCGGTTTTGGATGCCAAAAAACCTGTTGATGTCAAAAACTCATGCAACCTGTTAAACCACGCCCGAGGTGCCTGTTTGAGTCCATATAGAGAACGCTGCAGATGACAGACATGTCCCGGATGAGCGGGGTCTTCGTAACCGGGAGGTTGCTTCATGTAGACAGTTTCAGCTAGGCGTCCATTTAAGAATGCATTGTGAACATCTAGCTGACGGAGCACCCAATTGCGGGATACTGCAAGAGAAAACAGAATGCGGACTGTTGTGGGTTTGACCACGGGGCTAAAGGTGTCAAAAAAATCTTCTCCGGTTACCTGATTGAACCCTTTTGCTACTAAACGGGCTTTATACCGTTCAACTGTACCATCGGCTTTGCGCTTGGTGCGGAACACCCACTTGCATCCGATAACATTCATACTCGGGGTTGCGGGAATTAATTTCCACGTATTGTTGTGCATAAGTGCATTGAACTCCTGATCCATGGCATCCCGCCACTGCGGATGGCCCACGGCCTGAGAATAGCAAGTGGGGTCCACAGTAATGGTCAGGGCATGAAATTGCTCGTTTGTGCCCCGAGTTTTGCACCTGGTGCGCATGACATGATCCTCAACAGGGGGTTGAGGACGTTTAGACCGTCCCGGAGGTCGACCTCGTCGGGGAGCAGTCTGAGGCGGCCCTTCTATAGTCATAGGCACCGGTTGTTGCGCAATGGGTGGTTCATCAAAAACCGGGGCAAGCACGGGATTAACCAACACGGGTCCAACACCCCAAGGTGCGGGAGTGGAGTCCGGACTGGTATTGACCTGCAAAGACGTCTGCAAAGCAAATGGGAAGATTGATTCATCAAAACGCACATGACGGCAGATAAATACCTTCCCTGTAGTTAAGTCCATACAACGGTATCCCCTAAAAGAAACTGGGTAACCTATGAAGACACAGGGTGCAGAGCGGTACTCAATCTTGTGCCGATTATATGGCCTAAGATAAGGGTAGCACTTGCACCCGAACACCCGGAAGAAAATGTATGGTGGAGAGGTTTTATGTAGACGGAAGTGTGGGGTTTCATAAGATATAGCTGATGAAGGCAAGCAATTAATTAATTGTGTTGTTGTTTCAAAAGCGTAATCCCAGTATTTTAACGGAGCTGAGCTTCCGGCTAATAAGGCCAAGCTGGTTTCGACAATGTGTCGATTACGGCGTTCAACGCGGTCGTTTTGCTCGTGGGTATAGGCACATGATTGTCTGTGTGTGATGCCTAAAGACTCAAACGTTTTGTGGAGGCGGCGATACTCACCCCCTAAATCAGACTGAATGGCTTTGATCGAACGGGAAAACCGCCGTTCCACCATTGCCTGAAACAATTCAAACACTTTATATATATTTGATTTTAGCCGTAAGGGATAAAACCAGGAAAAACGTGTACAGTCATCTACGAACAAAACAAAATATCGGTAGCCTGAATCTGAAATAACCGGGGAAGGCCCCCAGATGTCTGTATACAATAAATCTAAAATATTCAAACTTGACGAACTAACTCTATCTAAAGGAAACCGAGCTGATTTGCCAAGTTGACACGCGGTACAGACTCCTGACGCATGGGCTTTATTTGACGTGACCGGACAGTTTTTCAAGACTCGTTGCAGGGCTTGTTTATGAGGGTGACCCAATCGTTGATGCCAGACAGAGGGTGTAGCTTTTGCCGATAGAAATGCAAAATGCGCCCGAGGCACCAACAATTTGTATAGACCGCCTACCGCGGAGCCTTTAAGAAGCGTTTCCCGTGTAGTGCAATCCTTCACAAAAAAAGAGTCTTTATGAAACTCAAAAAAGACGTTGTTTTCGTTAGTGAAACGATAAACAGATAATAAGGGTAACGACAATTTGGGAACAAACAGTATATTAGACATATTTAATACTCTGGAATGGGATGGGATAATTGTACGGCCAACCCGGGAGATATTCAAACCTGCGCCATTGCCCACTTTCAGCACATCTCCGCCGGTGTAGAGCTCGGACTGCCCAACCTGCTGCTCATCCGGCGAAGCGTGGGTGGACGCTCCAGTGTCAGGGAACCAGGCGTCCGGTTGAGTGGCGTCCGCCGGCGAGCCTCCTGCGACGGTGACATTGGCATGTGGTGCAGGTTCCGTGTATCGTTTGTAGCAGTAGACGGCCGTATGACCGTGACTCCGGCAAATCTGACACCTAGGATTGCCACGGCCACGACCTCCGCCATTCTGCCGTCCACCGCCACGCCCTCGACCGCGCTGATTCCCGGACTGCCGTCCGCCGTGCCCACTGGTCTGACCACCGCGACCAGCATACAGGGCCACCGGAGAGGAGCTATTTCCAGCATCCATCGCAGAGAGATCAGCGCCTTGAATGAAGTCCTGCGCCTGCAAAAGATCACCGAGCTGGGATAGGGTCACCGACTTTCCAGTCATGGTGAGTGCACTGGCTAACGCCCGAAACTCCGGCCGGAGTCCACGCAGCACGTAGAGAACCTGTTCATCGAGGGTGAGATGGTGACCGGCGAGGGAGAGAGCTTTGACTAGCAATTTGGCTTTGCCGAGATACTCCGAGGCCGTCATACTGCCTTGCCGGAGTGTCTGGAATTTCCCCAAAAAATTGAGGCACCGAGCCCTCGTGGAAGATGCTAGCAATTCGTTGATTGCGAGCCAAACATCTCTGGAAGTCTCCCGACCAACCGCCAGAGGCATAACCTCATCTGAGAGCGATGAGATCAGGAGAGACAGGATCGATTGATCCTGTTGGACCCAAGCGGTGTGCGCTGGGTTATCTACGGTCGACCCTGCTACGGTGGTGCCGGAGTCGCCAGGTTGCACCGCCGCGGGAACTGTCGCCGGAGGACATGAGGAGCTGCCGTCGATGAAGCCTAAGTGGCCCTGCCCACGCAAGAATGGAACAATCTGGGTGCGCCAGAATAAAAAGTTCTGATTGTTTAGCTTAATCGAAACAAAATGGTGCGCAGCATTTAGGGAGGTCCCGGAGTGTTGCGTTGGGGCGGTGGTGGTAGTAACGGTTCTTTCAGAAGAGTTTGTCGACATGGTGTGGTGGAAGAGGAAACACAGAATAGGATTCCTAGCCTAACGCTAACTGATACCAGATGAACAAACTGAATTCACATTAGATCGGGAAAGAGAGTACAATGAAGAGTCCTATAGGAAAGTTACCACAAATATCTCCTATACAATAGACAAGCCTAGTCAGATGAATAATAACCACATAGAATAAACCATATGCTATAACATAAATATTATTATTGCTAACAGTTCTTAGTTTTCAATTTCAATAAATTTGATCATTAAATTGTTTAAAATTTTGTCAATTAAATCCTTCTAGCAGGAACTAAATTGACGAAATTTGTAAAATGTGAAAATCACCATTTTGGTCTTTAAAAGTGTTTAATTGACAGAATTTTTAAACAATTCGAGGATCAAATTGATTGAAATTGGAAATTAGGGACTACATTGATATATAGTTAAGAAACAATCGAGAGACAAAAATTGTGATTAACTCTTAAGTAAACTAGCGCAATTCAGCCAAACACCTTGTGCACAGATGGCACCTGGGTTGGACTCCCACATGGGAGGTTGTATGTTGGAGCCTCTTTGTGCTCCAGTAGGTTGGGAAATTAGTACATTGTAATAGAGTCAGTAGCATCCAAAAAAAAAAAAAAAACTAGCGCAATTCAATTTTAAATAATATCAAAGAGAAAATTTCAATTTTGATCATATGACTATAGTAGTTTTGTTAATTTCAGGATAGTAGTTTTGTTAATTTCAGCACCTGACTTTCAAAGTGTCAATTTAATACCTTGACTATGCAATTTTTATCAATTTTGGTCACTCTGGTCAAATTGCCGGCCAAATTTCGCCGAAAAATTTTAACAGTTAAAATAATAAGGGTATTTTAGTCATTTCACATCTTTTCCTTCTTCTCCGGCGAATTCATTTTTTCCGGCGAATCCTCCGGCAGCACACCTTCCAAAGCATACTTAAACTCATTCGTCCAAGCCGTCACCGACGATTTATTAGGGTTCAGATGGCCAAAATTTCGGTTGAAAACATCTGGCCGTTTGTGTAAGGGGAACTTGAGATATCGGCGGGCCTAGAAATCTCTGAACTGCACTTCTCTTTGTGCTCGTCCAACGCACCTCCTGCCAAAATTCCGATTGAAAGCTTTTCCGGCAAAAAAAAGGCTTGCTCGAAGATGAAAGCGAAATGCTAAAACTGATGCTGGTGCCAGGGTTGTAAACCCTGCCTAGGCGCTAGGCGCCTCTAGACCGTGGCGATTTCCCCCTAGGCGCCCGCCTAGGTTACCGGCCGCCTAGGCGTCCGCCTAGCGCCTAACTCGGCCGATTTGGCCGCCTAGCATCTAAGTTAGTCGAGTTAACTCGTGCATTTCGGTCGAGTTAACCCGATCGGCTCGGCCTATTTTTTTTATTATATATATGTATATATGTGTGTGTGTGTGTGTGCACGCGCGCGCACACATACATATATATAATATGACATATATACACTCGTAGACTAGTTTGATACTTTGAATCTTTGGATGATTAAAGTATTTGAGTATTTCATATTTGAGTATTTTTAATTTTTAATATTGTTTTAATGTTTTTTTTTTAAAACCATTGTTTTGATGTTATGACTTATGAATTATCATTAATTCATTTATTTGGATGTGTTATTTGATTAAATGTTGAAAACAACCTCATTAAAATTGTCAAACTGCAAGTCTACCACTGTTTTTTTTTTTGGCGCCCACCTACTGCCGCCTAGATTCCGCCTAGGCGCTAGGCGCTGTCCGGGCGCCCGACTAGCGCATAGCGCCTACTGCAACCATGGCTGGTGCCTATTTATTCTAAAACTTCTCTATTTCAACATTACGCTAAAATTGATGTTGAATAAATACTTCTCTTTTTGGATAATGGTGAATAAATGCTTCTCTTTTTGGATAATGTTGAAATCATAGCAGCGCACCTCATCCTCGGATTTGCCGGAAAAGATAAATTCGTCGGAGAAGAAGGAAAGAGATGTGAAATGACTAAAATACCCTCATTATTTTAACTTTTAAAATTTTTCGGCGAAATTTGGCCGCCAATTTGACCGGAGTGACCAAAATTGATAAAAATTACATAGTCAAAGTACAAAATTGACACTTTTAAAAGTCAGATGCTGAAATTGACAAAACTCTATAGTCATATGACCAAAATTGAAATTTTCTCTAATATCAAAATAGATTACAAGTCAGCTCGTGGATTTTAACACCACTTAAATAGAAAGAGAAATATTGAACATGCATAGAAGATTCTATATAGAAAACCCAAATTTCTCATCAATATTGAACATGCATGAATAGAAGTTTCTATATATATAGAAAACCCAAATTTCTCATCAATATTGAACATGCATGAATAAGTTTCTATATATATACACAACCCAAATTTCTCAAGACATGAAAAGTAGTGATAGGGAATTGCCAGAAATTGATACAATAACTTGTGTTTCGAATTCTTGAAGGACTTCCATTACAATCATGCACGTGGGATTAAAGCCTTCTAAAAACCATGGAATACTTTTGATTGACAAGATTACTATATATATATATATATATATATATATATATATATATATATATATATATATAGTGAAAGGTTCCTGTGCGGTTGAATGCTTCCCGTGCAGTTGTGCGGTTATTAATGTGTGTGAGATTTGTACTCAATGTGCGTGAGTGTTGTCTCTAATGTGCCTGAGATTTGTACTTAATGTGCGTTAATGTGTAAAATGCAGCAGAAAATATGGTTATCAGCTTCTTTCCCATCCCCAGCACTCTGTGAGTTGCTTCAGAATAACTTCGATTATTGGGTTGCTTATAATAGTGTGTTGTTCTGCTTTACTGATGTTTACAATGAAATAAAAGCTTCCCAAAGTGAATACACAAATTCTATCCTTATCAATGGTCTATACAGACCGATCTTGGTGCGAGAATCTGGAACTTCTGTTGTTTGCTTCAATTCCATCATGTCAGATTTGTTTATTTATTTATTTATTAATTGATTTATTATGCTATGGTGAAGGTGAGTATGGAGGACATAGAAAAACTAGTGGAAAGAAACAGTGAATTTTGATCTACTGGTGATTGGTCTGCAAGAGGTTCCTCGGATTAATGTTTCCAGATTGTTGAAAATTCTCTTATTACTCACGCACATTAAGCACAAATCTCACGCATATTAAGCACAATACTCTGGCACATTAAGTACAAAACTCACGCATATTAACATGACGCACATTAAGTAAAAATCTCAAGCATATTGAGCATAACACTCACTCACATTAAGTATAAACCTCACGCACATTAATCCACCGCACAACCACACGGGAAGCAACAAATGCACCTGATCCCTTCCATATATATATATATATATATATATATATATATATATATATATATAATCGCACTCAAGTGCGAATGCTTCGCTCAGGCGCGAAATAGGAATGGATTCTGTCCGTCCACGTGTCCAGATCTAATGGATGAGAAACACTGATTTTTTTTAAAAAACGGGGTGGCATTTTCGTAAATAATTGAACATCGAAGTGCAAGTAAAATGTATTACAACTGCATGTAAAATGCATTATAGGTGCAAGTAAAAATTTACTCTGAGCATCAATACTAAGTGCGGCACCTATAGTTATAAGTAGTTGCACCTATAGTTCTAAGTAGTTGCACACATAGTTATAAGTAGTTGCACCTAGGTGCATGAAGGTTTGGGGGTGATTTTCTGGGGTATTACTAGCCGCTGAACTCAGATCAATGAATGTTAACAAGGCAAAATTACATGAACCATAGTTAAAATGGTGCCATTTTTGTACGCTAGTTACATTCTCAGCCGCACTTAGTTTTTTATTTTATTTTTATTTTAAATGATGTTATAATAAAACTACAATGTGTATAGTATAAAATGAAATTGAATAACAGATCTCACATGTTGACTATTGAGTGTATATTGTCAAATGAAACTGTAGTTGAATTGAATTATAATAATACTTTAGTAGTGATTTAATGAAACTATAGTGTGTATAAAATGAAATAGAATAGCATGTCTTACTTATTTAGTGAAAATTGTCAAATTAAACTGTAGTTGAATAAAAATGATACTTTAGCAGTGCCGTAATGAAACTACATAGTGCATAAAATTAAGCACTATAGTAAGTCTCATGTATTAAATGTATATTGTTAAATGAAAATGTAGTACAATTTAATTAGAATGATACTTTAGTGGTGCTGTAATTAAACTATAATGTGTATAAAATGAAACTGAATAGTAGGTCTCACATATTGAGTGTATATTGTCAAATGAAACTGTAGTTAATAATAATTATACTTTAGTGGTGCTGTAATTAAACTACAATACGCATAAAATGAAACTGAATATTAGGTCTCACATATTGAGTACACGTATATTCTCAAATGAAACTGTAGTTAAATAATAATGATACTTTAGTTGTATTGTAAAGAAACTACGAACATTGTGTATAAAATGCAACTGAATAGCAGATCTTATATATTGAATATTGTCAAATGAAACGGTAGTTGAATTAGAATGATATTGTGGCAACTAAATAATGAAAGAGGTTGCTACATGGATCATAACAAAATTTTTCGTCTACAATTATTAAAGGAAAATCTTAAGACGACATCGTTTTGGCCATGGACCATGGTCTACAGCTAGTAAAATTTGTTTAAAATCGCTGGTATCACATAATTTTAATCAAATATTAAAGAACCCAATTAGATACTGCCACACTGGTGGGGAAATTAAGAGCAAATTACAAGTATATATAGACACTTACACAGTGCTTTGTTAATAACTTCTTGATTTAATATATAGTAAATTTTATTTTTTAATCATCGAATTGTCATATTTAATCATATTCTTTTAACTTTTGATTTATTTATGTTCTTGATTTTTATTTACTTGTCACAATTAATTATCCATTTAATTTTTTATCATTTCATATGTAATAGAGATGTAATGAATCAA